AATCCTACTCCTGAACAGCACCCCAGCTAGGAGGTTGTTCTAGGTACTGTGAACCTAGTAATATTGAGAGTACACAGCGGGACAGAATTTACTTAAACAACAGTTTTGTAAAGGTTGCATTAGGTGTACATACACGGCTGTAGCTGTGGTAGAGGCCATTAAACCTAACAGCTTCTGAAAGAACAGGGCTGACTGAAACCTGTTGTTAGAAAGGCATCCAATCAATGCCTTAATTTGCAAGGCCCTATCGACTGGTAGAAAGGCTCTAGCCACTGTGGGATCCAGCAGACCTCCAACAAAGGAGACCCTCTGAGAAGGCTGGAGATGTGATTTCTTATGATTACCAAGCCCAACTTCTAGCATGTACAATCAGGGAAATGTGTGACTCTAATTCCTCATAGGAAGGCACAGTGATAAGCCAGTCATCTAAATACAAGTAGATTGATTGGCTAACAGGGATGAAGCCATGGGGGGATGCCCTGTACAAATTTTCTACCTTCTTGGATGTGGCAGCCACGCTAGCCAGTTTCTGCCAGAGGGCTTTGGAGATGTCAGCTATACCTTCCAGGATGGGTAAGGGAATTATACCTGGTGACTCTGCATAAAGCTTTCCCAGGATCTTATCTTTAGATCTAGGGTAGCTGGAGGTCACCTCTATGACTAGAGATTTGGCCATTCACATCATTTGTTTGTGTAGAGCTTCAGGTCTTCATTAGGTGACATTGGATCCGGGTCCCCTACAGTATTGTCAGGAGAGGGGTCAAATGGCAATTCTGAGCCCAGAACAGAAGAATTAGCATTCAAGACTCTTCATCAGAATCCAAATGTCCTATAAGGGGTTGAGTAGAGACTGTAGGAGGGTACCAAACTGCCAGTCGCCCCATTCTTGAGGTCTGGTAGAGGGGAAATAATACAGAAGGGTGACTCATCTCTGGAGCCATGAATGTGCCCTGGCCAGGCTCTATTTCCTCTTCAGAGCATGAATACACCAGGGAGGCATGCAGTGAAGGCGTTCGAGGTGGGGGAACCTCCGTCCGTTCCATCAGAACCGGAGTGGTGCTTTTCCTTATGTTTCAATTTGGAACGGGCATTTTTAGGCAGTGGTTCTGAAGAACACTGTTCAGCCAAATGGACAGGTGACCGGGTCCGATGCTTTGGTTCTGTCCCCAGAACCAACAGAACTGAAACGCTCGATGGCAGACTCATAAGGCAGTCAGTTCTAATGGGAGATTTTGACAGTAGGGACTGAGTGTGGTCCGCCAGGGCAGATGTCTTTGTGCCATGCTATCAGATCAAGAGAGCACTTTCTCCCACAAGCCTGCCTTCAATCACAACACTCAATATAAGTGGGCCTTTGGGGTAAGCTGGAGGCAAATTCTGCATGTGGTTGTATTATGAGACTCACCCAAGCAGAAAAGGCAGAGGTGTTCATCTGAATGGGTCATCTATGTACCGCACTGGGTGCATTTTTTAAATAAAGGGGAATCCCCAATAAGAGTAACAATTTTTGAAACAAACTCAAGAAGACCAGAGCTGAAGAGAAACACGTCCAAACAATGCAGTGACAAAGAAAGGACTGAGGGAGAGGGGGGCTCCTCCCTGCAGAGCATGTGACCTTTGGGTGGGAAAATGGCTTTTAATAGGGTCTGCAGGGTAGGGGCTCTCTTTAGAGAGCTTAATAAGTACCAAAGTAGCTGTAAGAGAGCCTCCAGTGGCTGGCCTACACCAGTGCAGGCCCAATGTGGGACTGCACAGAAGACTGAAGATGATATTCAGGTTATTTTGAAATAGGTACGGTTTGGGTACTGTTCCTGTGAAAAACAGTTAGGAAAGGGTAAGCATATTTGCTCTGTGTTATAAATGTTTTGGTGTTGTTCCTGTCAAAAACCAATTAAAACCATTTCTGTTCTATGTTATAATCCGTCAAATCAGCAAAACAAGAAACCTGCTTTGTAACTATTACACTTCTTCAGGCCCCAGGCTCTCCAGTGACTTTTGTTACTGTAGTACTGACAAGGTTGGAGAAAAGGAAAACAACCAAGCAAGCAACCCTGAGATGCCATTGAAATAAATCTGATTCTTCATTGTTTTCAAGCCTACCAGGGTTCCTTCAAGTTTATAATCCCCTCATAACAGGCCAAGCAAATGTACGGTGCCACCCTGAGTCCAGACACTGCCCTCATGGAGGACTAGAAGACTAAGCAGTCCCCAAAGCCTAAATTTTAAAACTCAGGGTATTTAAAAAAAGAAGTTTGTAGGGTGTGAAATTTTAAGTCCCTAGTTTCTAGGTCTGTAAACAGGGTATCGCCACAGAAGGCCACTCCAATAAACTGCAAAATCTACAGAAGGTACAGGAGTGACTTCTCCCTGCTGACAGATGTGCCCAGGGTAAAATGGAGATGCTGGCTCTGTAGTACAGTTTATAGAGTATTTCCGTACACAATTTGCTGTTTGCATTGTTTCTGATTTTGTAATCTTAGATCTTATGCATTGCTCACTTCATGTCTTATGGTATCTGATGGCAGACCTCTATAATCTGCAATCTGCCTTGAGTATTAGCAAGAAAGATACACTACAAATTAAATAAATAAACTGAAGATGGATTTATTTATTTACATTATTTATAGTCTGCCTTCCTCACTTTGGCTTTTGACAGATTACACAGAGTGAGACAATACAATCAACAGGATGAGACATTCAATAAACAATGAGATAGGATTTGGGATTCAGAACCAACCAGAAGTTTAAAAACATAGCTGAAGTAACAAGAAGATCCAACCCACAGCAAACTATACACAGCAGTACAGACCACAGTCCCCAGTACTTTATTCCATGTGATCCTACTGCCTGCATAAAAAAGCCCTCTTGAATAATTCAGTTTTGCATAGAAGAGTGGGAGCCTTCCGGACTTTTTCAGTCAGGCCATTCCACAAGGTGGAAACCACAACAGAGAGAGCACATGTATGGGCAGTTGTTGATTTTGCCAGCTGGCACATGCAGAAGGAGGGTCTTATAACCAAGGATGAATATAAACAAATAACTAGTGCTTGTAGAGAGAGAGTTAGGAAAGCTAAAGCTCAGTATGAGCTTAGGTTAGTGAGAGATGCTAAAAACAACAAAAAAGGGTTCTTTTCTTATGTTCGAAGTAAGAAAAAGAGCAGGACATGGTAGGCCCATTGTGCAAACTGTACCAGGTAATGAAGAGAGGGCAGAACTGCTCAATTCCTACTTTTCCTGTCTTCTCTTGCAAGAGAAATGGTGCTCAACATGGCAAACACAGAACACATGATGAGGGAAGGGAGTCAACACCTAGTTTCTTTAAATGAAACTAAATCCTCAAGGCCAGATGAACTGCATCCAAGGGTATTGTAATTTCTGAGCCTCTGTCCATTATTTTTAAAAATTCTTGAAGAACAGGTGAGCTGCTAGAAGACTGGAGACGGGAAAATGTTGTCCCCATCTTCAAGAAGGGGGAAAAGGAGGATCCAGGTAACTACCAACCCTTCAGCAGGACGTCTATACCTGGGAAAGTTTTAGAACAAATCATCAAGTAGACAATCCTTGAGCATTTAGAAAGGATAGCTGTAATTATTAAGAGTCAGCATGGGTTGCTCAAGAACAAGTCGTGTCAGACTAACCTTCTCTCTCTTTTTTTTAGAAAGTTACTACCTTGCTGGATCAGAGGAATGCTGTAGACATAATTTATCCTGATTTCAGTAAGGCTTTTGATAAGGTTCCACGTAATATTCTTGTTGGCAAATTGGTAAAATGTGATTTGGATCCTATGACTCTTAGGTGGATCTGTAACTGGTAGACCGATTACACCCAAAGAGTACTTGTGAATGGTTCCTCATCCTCTTGGAGGGAGTGACAGGTGGAGTGCCTCAAGGATCTTCCTGACAGTTGGAGCGGTTCCTCAGTGGAACAGGCTTCCTCGGGAGGTGGTAAGCTCTCCTTCTTTGGAGGTTTTCAAACAGAGGCTAGATGGCCATCTGTCAAGCAATGCTGATTTGGTGAACTTAGGCAGATTATGAGAGGGAGGGCAGGAAGGGTTGCATCAGTGCTTAGTTCTTTTGACTCTTTCTCACACATCCAGGGAAATGCTGATTGCCACTTTGGGGTCAGGAAGCAATTTTTCTCCAGGCTAGTTTGGCCGGAGATCCTGGAGGGGTTTTTTGTCGTCTCCTGGGGAAGTATTTGTGAATTTCCTGCATTGTGCAGGGGGTTGGACTAGATGGCCCTGGAGGTCCCTTTCAACTCTGATTCTATGAATTTATGAAAGCCCTGCTCAGATGATATATCTGTCATGGTGCAGCACAGAGGGAGAGAAAGTCCCACAGATAAGAGGGTCCAAGACTATGAAGGACTTTGTACATGATAGCCAATACTTTATATTGACCCCAGTAACAGATGGGCAGCAAGTGGAATGACTGTAGTATGCATAATATGCATGCTCCAGCTGACACCTAATAATAGCTGAGCTATGGCAAATTAATTTTAAGGAGAGACCAATATACAGTGCATTACAGTAGTCTAGCCTCAAAGTCACCGTGGTATGGATGCAGGTAAGGGGCCATTTTTCAAGCTAGGTTGAGTTGGAAGAAAGCCTTTAATGCAACTATATTAAACTTGCTTCTCCAGCAATAATGTATGGTCCAGTACAACCCTGAGGCTCTTAACAGAGTTGGCAATGGGAAAACTGGACAAGAGGAGAAAGGAGGAAAAATATCTGTATGTGTATACAGAGATACAATTTTTTTTAAGGAAGAATAGCACTGCTGCAGCAGATACAAAAGTATCTAGCAGGAACACGTGACTCCTCCTCCAAGCATACTTTTAGGTAGCTGTGGCTGCTTAATTTTTAAGTATTTGTTTTAGTGGACAGCTACTGCATCATCTTCTTTAATGCTGTATAACATTTTGGGCAGCAATTTTAACAGAACTGTGGTTTACAGATTGCTAAATAACCCATCCTGTAAACATCATCTCCAAGTATTTACCTCTCCCATTCCCCGAGATTCTAGTGCAAGAGCTTGAAACTCATGATTCATTTCATCCACAGAGCGAACCTGAAAAAAAACAAAGATAAAAATTAGAATATGAAGCACACAAATGATTTCAAGTTAAACCCATACTATATTATTTGAGTTCGCTACGCACTCCCAGAATTTGTAAACCATCTAGCTCAACATGCCCTATATTTTATAAGTGAGGCTGGGGAAAAGGGAAAGATTGACTAACAACATATTTACTCAATTAAAAAGGCTATGAAAATGTAGAAAAAATTAACAGTACATCAAAATATAATTATATTTTATTTTTTATAATTTTTTTATTATTTTCTTGCTACAAACACTAACAACTCTACAAACACTACAACACTAAACTAAAATATAAGCTACACAAGGATCATTCAAAATGATTGGTCATTAGCTTAAACAAAGTTTCCTCTATAGTAAATTTAATGGAATGGAGTTATTTCTTATCGCTTCCTTACAAACTGGTGTTTATATGATTAAATCAGGTAGTTACAGTTTAAACAATTTAACTTTCAAGCTTTTAAAATCATATTATTTCGGCTTCTTTTCTCTGAGCTCCTTTTTATCAAAGTTCCATTGGACCTTCAGGTGTTTTGGGGCCGCCGCCTCTTTATCTGATTCGGACTCCTCTTCTGGATTACTGCCCGCCGTACTTCCCGAACTTTCCGACCCATATGCACTGCTTTCTTCTTCCAATTCTTCTTCTGCTCTCTTGTCATAAGCTGGTCTTTGTTGCTGTTCCAAAAACACCTTTGCTTTAAAGACAGAGTCAATCTTTTTTTTTTTTTTGACTTTATATTTGAAGACAAGTCCCTCAGGTATTATCCATTTGTATGGTGTGAAGTTTTTCTGCAAAAGCTAGTTAAATTTTTATACTGTTTTGTCTGCCTTCTTATTTCAAATGGTATGTCTTTTAATACTAATTTTTTCATCTTTGATTTTTAGAGTTCCATAAATCTCTTTGAGAATCTCACCATTATTTCCCCAGGCAGGATTTTTTTCTTAATAAATTCTGGATATGTCTGATAGACCATATCCATATCGCTTTGTAGTATATCCGCTGTTAAACCTGTCATCGGGGCCAATGCTTCACTTAAGATTTCCTTCAGATTCTCACCTCTCTGTTTAGGAACACCTTGAAATCTCAGAGCATAAGTTCTAAAAAGTTGGTTTTTGTCAGAGATCCTCTCTTTCTCCACTACCTCCAGCCTTTGTTGAATTGCTTTTGACTTGGCTTCATGTCACTGCTTTTGCCATCTCCTCTGTTTTATATTAGTCTCTTTCAGCTATTTTTGGAGTGCTTCAAAGTTATTGTTGAGGTTAGTCATCTGATCCAACAGAGGGTGCAGTGCTGTAGCCAGCATATTGGGAAGGTCAGTATTCGCTTCCAATTTAGGAACCGGATGTGCTGATCTCGCAGTTACAGGAGAGTGCTTCGTTTTCGTCTCCATCTTTTCTGCCCGAGAAGTCATTGTTTACAGTTCAGAGAAAGTTTTTAAAAGTCACTGAAAGTTCATTTATGAAATCGCTTTAAACGGATCTGTGCTTTACTTGATTTAATCCGGAATCACCGTTGCCTCTAGCCCCTTCTGTCGCTTAGAGAGTTCATTTAAAGTTGTGGGGGGCAGACTCCCTCCCCCCTGTGTCGTTACAGATCGGGGCTTCAGAAAGACGCTTAACCACAACCAGCTGCAGAGGTAGGAAAAACTTTGAAGTTTTGCTTGATCACTTGTTCGTTTGCCCGGTGTACACCTCTTGAAGCCATAATGGCGCCGCAATGGTGGTACCTATCGGGGCAAAGGGGAGCCTCGATCCCTTGGCCGCAGCCTCATGAGAGGCAACCCTCGCGCCCCAGGCTGGGAGTCCCCTACAAGGACTCCAGGGTGGGGTCCGGATCAACTGCCCCCCCTCCTGTTCGCTGCATCACGGGCCGCCCCCATCAGAGCTCCGAAGGAGCACACCCGCCATGGAAGTCACCAAAACCGGAAGTCCAAAATATTGTAATTAAATTAATGTGATCAGCATATACCTGAACTTGCATAAATTATTTACTGAACACAAAGTAACTGACATGGGAAAGTTTACAAGACCAAGCAAGAGCCATCTTATTATAAATGTAACAAATAGCTACACACATAGCATTTCATAAAATGATGGCTGAGAGAACCTGAATGGCTGGTTTATTGCTTGACGATACAGTCATCTTTCCCACTAGCCACTCATGTCCTGAAGATTAATTCTTGATATGAACTTACAGTAACTTTAAATCACTTCACTACCTTTGTGATACTAATATTTTTTAATGGAACATCTCTATTTCTACTCAAAATGTTAATTACAAATTTAGAAACAACTGATATGAAATTTACAACTGGCATTCTTCCATGTAGAATTAAAATAGCAGAGCATAAAAACATCATGGAAAAGTATGCACCTGGCTTTTAATGACTAAAGCACAATGCAGCACAAAACAAAACTGTCTAACAGAACTATCACATGATTAATGTATTTCCCGGGTGCCTAATAATCTCATTCAAAACAAAATGCAAATGGGTTAGATGATATAAAAACTGTAAGAACAATGTGAAGTAAGCTAACTAACAATATATCACATATGTTATGATAAACAATTTAATCCAACACATAGTGAATTAATAATAGGGATTCAACAGCAATTATGAACATATAAGGTAGAAGATTTCAGGACATATTATACAAGGCATGAACAATCCAAAAAGCAACTAGCGTCGCCAATTTAAGGACCACCTAATGATGAGTACATAATACATAATACTCATGCTGAAGTCCTCCTGTACATGCACAATCTCTGGGTAGATCTCCCATATTGGTACCTGGAAGAAATACTTCGAGCAGAAATCTATCATTAGCTGAGCAAATCCCGACGGACAACCGATAAAGACTGTTTCAAGAAGACCTTTTTCAAAGATGACAACCTTCTATTAATTTGGTCAGATACCACTTATCAAAATGCTATAGAATGTTATGCCCAGCTTGAATGATGAAGCAGACCATTTGGGAGTGACAGGAAGCAGTGGTGTTTCATTATTTAATATGCCCTTCTCAGACCTCTGGAGGGCCTTCAGAATCTACCCCAATGTACAGGATCCATCAGAAAGATGCACTCTCCTTTAATTTCATTAACAGCCCCAAATAACAGCAGATACTTTCCAGATCGACCACTGGCTATGCCATTCGACAGTGCATCTCCCACTTCCGGTTTATGGCGGCGCGCTAGCAGACTCACCTCCCAGACCTCCCGGGGGTGAAGCTGCGCTCCAGCCAAAGAAGGGGGTACGCAGGCTCGCAACCCCCCCCCCAGGGGCCCGGCGAAGGAACCCTGGCCATGAAACTTCTAAGAGGTCGCCTCTTCGAGGGCGGAATGCCTGAGAATTGAGGTGCCTCTTTGTTCTGACGGTTCTCCGTGCTGTGAGACCGTATGGACTTAGTGATGCTGACCGGGACGAGCGAAGGGAATCACGCGGCAGAAACGAAATTAAAGCGAGGTCAAATGACCGATTATGAACGTGAGTCAATTTCCTAGCGTTTAAAGAGAAAAAGATAGCTCCCCACCCCACCCCACTGAACGGGAGAAAAAACGAGCGGGAGAGGGACGCCTCCTATGCGCACAAACGTTTGAGCAATTGAGGGGGGGAGTGGAAGAAAACGCGAGGGAAACTGCCTAGAAGTACTTACCAAAGCAAGAATGGAACCTCAGATATACACCATGAGAGTTCCTTCTGCTCTGAGGTTAGGGCATTTTGTCCCACCCCCAAAAATCAAACAAACAAAAAACCACCAGAAAGAATGTCTACAAAAGCAGGATCCCAAGTCTGACTAATCCTATGGAATCAAGCTGCAGGGGAAGATGTCCTTCTTTAACCCCTGCTCATGTTTTCTGGTTATCATGCTTCTTACTGCGACTTACCTGTTTTGGTTCTTGTTTTATCTCTGTCCTGTCCCTTCATGTTCCTGGGATCATTAGCTTGTGAGGTAACCAAACTGAACCAGGGCAACCCCCACCCAGGAGACAGGGAGTTGAAGAGTTTAGTCCTGTCTCTCTGAGCAGTTGAAGAAGAACAGTTGGTTTTTATACCCCACTTTTCTCTACCTTAAGGAGTCTCACAAGTGGCTTACAATCGCCTTCCCTTCCTCTCCCCACAACAGGTACCTCATGAGGTAGGCGGGGCTGAGTTTTGAGAACTGTGACTAACCCAAGGTCACCCAGCAGACTTCAAGTGGAGAAATCAAACCCATCTCTTAACCACTACACAACACTGTGAATCACCCATTCCAAGATGTCCTCCTAACTGCAGAGCATAAAGAACCCTTATGGTGGGTATCCAAGGTTCCGTTTGTTGTGAATAATTGAAAATTGATGTTGGATTGAGAGCAATTTTTCCTATTAATCGAACACATATTATAAAATTAACATCACTGACATTTGACCTTTCGTTTCTGAGAGTCTCAGGGAGGTAAATGATATAGTTATAGGGCTGCAAGGGTTGGCAGTCATCTAGTTTAATTGCTTGCATTGAGACATATGCTTAACAAAACAGACAATATTTTAAGTTGGTGTTTAATCATTCATATTTGGACAACTTTTCTAATTATATTTATTAGTTTTCACACATACATAATAATTGGTTCATTTATATACATATATTTTAGAGTATTTTATCTGTTTTCTAGCCAATTATACATTCCCAACCATTTTTTGTAAACACTTCATCATTTTTTCCCTGTAACATTAAGCTTAGTTTATCCATTTCAGCTACTCCCATCAATTTCTCCATTACTTCATCCCTTTTGGGGTTATTATCTTGTTTCCAGTATTTCGTCCATAATATTCTTGCTGTTGTAATTATAGATATTATTAAATACTTATCATTATAACTAAAATCTTCTGGAATCATATTTAATAAGAATATTTCAGGCACTAAGCCAAGTTTCACCTTTACCATTTCGTATATTAGATTCTGTATAATTTTCCAGTATTTCTGTATTCTTAT